ATCTGCTGGTTCGGCGCCTGATTGTGCAGTTCAGGAAGGGTTTCAGGAGGAACGACAAGGCCGTGGCGCTATCGAGTACCATGTTCCTTTCGCACCTCGTCAACACGCAAGTCGTCCACGAGATCTTGATCGCCGAGATCCTGCTTCTCTTGCTGAACAAGCCCTCCGACGACTCTGTTGAGATCGCCGTCGGTATCATGAAAGAGGTCGGCGCTTTCCTCGACGAGATGAAGCCTGCGATCGCGAATGCCATCTTCGACCAGATGCGCAACATCCTCCACGAAGCCGACATCGACAAGCGCACACAATACATGATTGAGGTTCTTTTCGAGGTCCGACGCACAAAGTACAAGGACAACCCGGTTATCAGGGAGGACTTGGACCTGGTAGAGGAGGAGGATCAGATCACCCACAACCACACGCTCGAGGGGGATTTGAAGGTTGAGGATGGTCTCAACCTCTTCAAGGTCGACCCCGATTACGAAGCGCACGAGGAAGAGTACGCGAAGATCAAGGCAGAGATTCTAGGCGAAGAGGAGGGCAGCGAAGATGATGGATACACAGATGCGTCATCTGAGGATGAAGAGGACGAGGAAGTGAAGGCCATGGATGTCAAGGATCAGACCAACGCGGATCTCGTTAACCTGCGCCGAACCATCTACTTGACCATCAAGAGCAGCGGTGGCTTTGAGGAGTGCGTGCACAAACTCATGCGCATCAACCTGCCACATGGCTTGGAAAACGAGCTCACCACGATGATCGTCGAGTGCGCCAGCCAGGAGCGCACATACGAGAAGTTCTACGGCATGATTGGAGAGCGCTTCTGCAAGCTGAACAGGATGTGGACCGACCTTTTCGAGGAAGCATTCGCGCACTACTACGAGACTATCCACCGCTTCGAAACGAACCGCCTTCGTATTATCGCACAGTTCTTCGCGCATCTGCTAGCATCCGACGGTATCGGCTGGCACGTCTTCCAGGTGGTCAAGATGACGGAAGAAGATACCACCTCCAGTTCGCGTATCTTCGTCAAGATCTTGTTCGAAGAGCTCCTAGCTTCTCTCGGGCAGAAGGTCGTTGTGGAGCGCTTCAAGGACCCCATGCTACAAGACAGCCTTACAGGACTCTTCCCTACCGATGCCGACGACCAGAGCAAGACCCGCTTCTCGATCAACTACTTCACCGCGATCGGTATGGGTGTGCTTACTGAAGGCATGCGCGACTGGCTCAAGAACGCTGCGCCCAAGCCGAAACCGCTGCCCGAACCAGAGAGCGATTCCGACGACGACCGCAGCGTTTCGTCAAGATCAAGCTACAGTTCGAGCAGCTACTCACGCTCCCGAAGCCCGGTTCGCAGAAGGCGCGACTCAAGATCCAGGTCCAGATCCGACTCTAGAGGACGCTCGTACACACGCAGCCCAACACCAGCCCGCAAACGTGGAGGCCGTGGCAGAAGCGACTCCTACAGCTCCGCATCCCGCTCTCGATCCCGCTCCCCAGCGCCTCGCAAACTCAAGAGCAAGCGCTCCTACTCAACCTCCCTCTCTCGATCCCGCTCCCCCGCGCCCAGGAGACGCGGCCGCAGCCCCTCGTCCTCCCGATCCCGTTCTCCGCCCCCGAAATCCAAGACAACACGCCGCGGCCGCAGCCCATCCGGCTCGTTATCCCGCTCCCCACCGTCACGCCGTCGGAAGTACACTACATCCCCTTCGCGTTCGCCATCCCCACCACCGCGCCGTCGTGGTCGTGATTCTAGCACTCCGCCGCCCAGGCGTAGACGTGGCTCGAGCAGTGCCCCGCCATCGAAGGGTAAAGGGAAGGCGAGGGCGGATAGCGGTAGTCCGCCTCCGCGCCGCAGTCGCAGGAGGGATACTAGTTCCCCGCCGCCACCGTCGAAGGCTAATGGCAAGGCGAGGGATGTTAGTGCTAGCCCGCCGCCGAGGATGAAGAGAGATGATAGTGGGAGTCCGGCACCGAGGGTGAAGGCGGATGGTAGTAGTCCGCCGTCGAGGAGACGGAGGGACTCGTAGGGTGGATTCTGGGTACAAGTTGATGAGTGTGAGGAAGCATGACATCGGGGAATTGGCGTTCATGTCCTTTTGTGAGAAGAGAGATTGAATGGGATGATAGCATTGCATATTTTTCCTGCAAGCATAATTGCGATGGTTAGGCGAGCGAGGTATGTGGGAGAGGCTCGATATCGATGGACATTAGTATAGCTATAAAAAAAGAGATATTATAGCATCGGCAACCAGTCTTCAGCACTTCTCCCCTAGCCATCCCGGTGTGCACTGTCCACGAAGCCCTGCTTGTCCAACTTGTCCAAGATCCGGCTCGCTGCGTGTTTGTAGTGCTAGTAAAGATGCATCACCAAGTGCCGTTTAAAAAGCCCAATAATGAAGGAAGCGTCCAACAAGCTACCTGCAACGCGCCACTGGCAACTTCCGAGACATATGCCAGCGCCATACCAGCGGGTCCTCTTAGTGAGATGTCACAAATACAGAAACTAGAGCCCTACCCTCTGCCCCTCTCTATGAGATTTTCACCTTAGAAAGCCTCGATCTTGAAATGCCGCGTTGTCTCGTAAGTTAGATGCCGCGGTGCCCCCTTACACTCATGGTATCGACCGATCTCAGCACAGCTTTGCGGTCGACTGCGCGCAGATCGGTAACAGTGGAGATGTTTGTTGGCAGCAGGCCTGGGCCAGGGCAAGCTGGTATGAATCGACGGCGACATTATACTGCTTGACCGAGTAAACTGTCGAGAGGACGCCAAACAGGATCGTTAGAAGGAAGACTCCGAACACAGCCCCCCACAATGTTACAAACTCGACAGGATTTCTTGTATCCTTCAGTGCTTGAAGTACAGTCTCCGGACGACTGTTCAACAAGTTCAGCAATTGTGCGAGACGGCTTCTCCAGTACACGAATTCGTTCAACTCAGTTGCTCGCGGGGACTGTAATGGGTTCTCAATCCACATTTGTACCCCAGATTCTTTCAGGAATGCCATTGTCTGCTTGTGGCCAACTGGAAACAAGAGGTCGAGAGTTCGAATGGCTTCGTCCAGGATGTCCGCTGATATCATCGGTGGTGTTGATCCGCTCCGGTGGTTTACAAGACAAGTCTTATGTCTGTAGATGAACAATCGTCGGTCTCCAGGGGACCCTTCAAGCTTCAAATGATCCACCAGGCTGTCGGTCCAGAGTAGAACCAATCGGTGCGTATTCTTCAGGCCCATGGCAGTGAATGACATGTCCAGCGTACAGTTCTGTACGGATTGTGCTGCTTTCGCATATTGAGAGAACTGAGTAGCGATCGCTTCCTCGAGAGATTGCTTGTCCGCCCAAGGTACACGTGTGACCATCGGGTTTTTGACCAGATTGGGCGATCCGCGGGAGTGAAGATGTATCCCCAGCCAAAGCTGGACTGCAAGCTCAATGGAACCCGAGATAGGCTCATTTTCGAAGTTCTTAAGGTACAGCCTCTCAACCTTAGCGACCAACACTTCTCTCGTGCTATTCCGATCGGACCTTAGCTCACTCACTATAGCAAGAAGGCCTCCCCACTTTTCTGTCGCAAATTTGGAGTTAGGGGGATGCAGGCTCTGTAGTGTAAGACCCCAAAAGCTTAGCAAGCTTGCATATTTCTCTTCGCTGTAAATATCCTCTGAAAGGTTCAGCTGAGGCCAGAAAGAGTTGATTAAGGTACATTTCTCCTCTGGTGTGAAGCCAAGAATGTCTTGCAAATATGACTTGGAGAACAGATCTTTACTGTCGAGCGACATGGTAGCGATTCATTCTAGTTTGTCGAAGTAATCACGACGCTTTCTTATGCGGTAAGGGAAACTAAGTGCATCCTCGTGTACAGGCGTTGCCCTTCAGTTGGACGCGGGGTATGCGCGTCAAAACGCAATAACCTGCTTTTTCCAGTCCCAGCCTCAGGACCTCGGGACGTCAGCGCGCATGTATTTCAGCTGCGACGTAGGTGGGTTTATCCGGTGAAGCCACGCACACCTTCAGCTGATGCCCCTCATCTTTTGCATGCTCAAGACACTGCTCCCACTTTCTACGATGGCAAGCACCCATGACTTAGTGTTCTGACGGAAGCCATATGTCATGCGCGTCACTTTGTAAGTTTAGATTCAGATATTTGAGTGTTCTACTTAGTCGCAAGGCTGACAAGTCACGACCTAGTGGCCTTTTGAGGGAACGCCTTACTTATCCACTCCAGCTACTGATCGTATACAAGGGTTACTAGCAATAAGACCCATTCAATGTGGTCTTTTCACATCGCAGGCCATTTTGGAACACACTAAGCGAAGAAGAATGAACGGAGCCCTGTTGCCGCTTCAAAAGCGAGCGCACTCAAGGACAGTCGAGTTGTGTCATACCAGAAGAATTGGTGATTACCGTGTAGGCACCTTGAGAGATGCTCCGCCTCCACTTCAAGTGCAGACAAAGTTCAACACGATTCACGGACAACTTGACACTATCCTTGCAGAGCTTACAAAGACGCTACCGTCATCGGGTCAAAAAGAGGGCCGAAGAAATTCCATGATAGCTTCTTATCTGTGTATGGCTGTCAAGCTTACCGTCATACAACGTCTCTACGACAAACGTCGATCTCCGCAATACAAGATCCTGCTGGAACCCACGATTTGGATCGAATGCCATAACACGACGTGGATCAAGCCAATCTTGCGATCGCTATCCTGTGTCACCTGGCTTGAGGAATTTGTGAAACGACAGCAGCTATTGGGAATGCCTTATATCTCCGCTAACGGTCCACATCCTCTTGCAATGAAAAGCTCACCACGTCTAGCAAGTCGCGCACCGTCGTTGGCGATCCAGAATGACTCCCCCCTCTTGAGCACCGTGTGTGGTGCTAGAGCTAGGTTTAGAATGGCAACGTCGGATGGTACTATTGAGTGCTACTCCACTATTGGCGGATTGATATATGTGGACGACAATCTCTTCGCGATGACGACTGCCCACGCTTTCATGCCTCATGTTCTCGAGTCACCTCAGCTTACTCTCATTGGAGGCATGGAGCAAATATCAGATGCTCCTTTTCCTACAGCATCATATTCGAGCACTTGGACGGAGTTGTCCTTTCCAACGACCTTCGCGTATCTGGACAATACGTACCTCCGCGGGATCAGCGTTGACAAGCCGATTGTTGGCGCTTCAGACTTTGCCCTGGTAGATCCCACATCATTCATCATTTTATCAAACACATACTACGACACAAATCGCAAGACAACCGAGACGGTCACCAGTATCGAAAGAACATGTGATCTATGTGCTGGACCTGTGTGGATCATTACAAGTCGCAACAAGTACCTGGACGAGGGTTATATGGTAGAGGGGGATGCTTCTATCATTGTGAAAGGTATTATTCTGTCTACAAAGATGATACAAGTCACCACAACTCCAGGTAAGTTTCTGTATCTAGTGTGTTGAGAGATGTCTAATACTCGAGATAGATCTTGGCTTATCGGGCTCCTGGGTGGTCCGAGAAGGAAAACTCCTAGGCGTCATATACGCAGGCAATGCCTCAAGCTCATACCTCCACATGCTTCCAGCTGAAGGAATGTTGTACACCATAACGCGGTTAGTTGGTGCGAATGTAGCGAGAGTTGCAACTCCGCGAGATATAGTCAATTACGAGGCTCGACGGACACTACGCGAGCGGAAAGATGAAGGTGCGTTTCGCCCAACAGTAATGATTTGAAGTTCTCAGAGTCACTAACAAGTAGTAGACATGACTACAACAGCCCCTCCATTAGACAATCCATTACCTGATACATCACGATTGAACGTCCCGATAACGTCAGTCGGTCCAACAGACCCGTCCAGATCAGTCAAGGATGACAGCAACACCACAAATCCTGTTCAAACTATCAAGACGCATATGCCTCGTGTGACTTATGCTGTTGTTAGAGCCGTAATAATCTACTGGGAGAACCCGGGTCTCTACGGCAACAGTTATGCCAGAGAAGCCTCCGAACTTGGAAGCTTCTTTCAGGGCTTACTTTTCGAGACGGTGCTCTACACAATACCTTCCCAGAACAGCGAGCTCGAACTCAAAGCCTTTATTCTCGAACAGCAATTGAATCTCGCACGGCGGATGCGTCTTCTCGACGCCCCGTGCCTATTGATCATGCATTACGGTGGCGACTCAGGCATGGATGACTTTCGTGACAACACCGGACCTAAAGGACTCCAGAGACGTCAATTTGTGTGGCGGAGGTAAGTGCTTCGTTACTTTCAAAGCTTGCAATATCTAACGATATGTAGCGAACGTAGAGATGGGCTTTACGTTCGATGGTACGAGATACAAAAGCTTTTCCGCGATATCACCTTTGATGTTCTTCTTCTGCTTGACTGCTGTCATGTCGCGCAAGACGGCGAATTTGCAGGAGAGGGATCATCCGATGAGCCCCCTGATCGTGTGGAACTACTTGCGGCTGCGGGTGATAGATCCGAAAAACCCCAGCCGGGAGATGGCTCTTTCACGACAATCATGATCAAGATCATGGCAAAGCTCATTGAAGAAGATCATCGTTTCGACATAACTGAGCTTTATACCAAACTTGTCCACCGGGATGCGAGGTTGCACACTACTCCCTTCTATGTGCCTATCCGCGAAGGTCCCGCAAAGCGTAGTGTCGTACTGGAGAGACTCAAAGCACCAGGAGAGTACGAAGATAGTGCGCTCGCTTGGAAAGTAGCTGTAGGTACTACTATTGGTTCGCGAGAACCGTTGAACTCAGCTATGCTCAATGAGATGGAGAGGTGGCTACACGCAGAGGCACCACACCCATTTTTCACCGGGCTCAAAGTGGAAAGAGTGATAAGACAGACTGCCAGCATCAACAAATTCGTTAAGTTTTCGCTCCCGGAAAGATCTGGGGTTGTCGCCCAATCGCTAGATGTCTCCGTATTGGCTCAGATGGAAGAGGCTTGGGGAGAGCTCCACCACCTTGTATCCCGCTACAAGTCACAATTTAGTCTACTAGACATCAAAGAGCAGGAAAAACGCATGGTACAGTTCGGCAAATTTGTTGAGAGATTGAATGCTGGCAATGCCGAGGTTATTGAACTCGTAGAGAAGGCAGTCATGATGTCTGCTTCATCTTCGACTCCCGCCTTGATTGACAAAGTACTCGAAGACCCAGTATGCGAGTCACTTGGAATGACAAGACAGCTGGTTCTCCGTCGAATTATTTGTTGTCAACAAAGCCACAAGCTCGAAGGGAAGGTGACGAAAACTACACCCGCCACATACGTAGTCTCGGATCGACTAATGGAAGAGTACAAAGTCTACGATGAACACCAAAGTCCGGAAGAGATCGCAGATATGAAGGCACGTGTAGGCCTTCTCGCAACCGTCTTGGAAGCCGAGAAGCCGGACTCGTTTCGTTGTCTCCAACTCTATGGATGGGAGCACGAAGAACGTCATCGTCGGTTCGTGTATCATTTCCTCATTCCAGATGAGTACAAGAAAGGGCCAATAACACTGCATGAAGCGATCAAAACTCTCATCGGCGAATCGCGACCCACACTCGAGGAACGGCTGACGATGGCCTACAATATTGCGAAAGCGGTCACGCAATGGCACCGAGTTGACTGGGTGCATCAGTCCATGTCGTCTCACAACATCATCTTTTTGAAGTCTATCTCTGGCAGAATAAGCGATAGGTGGAACTTCGAAGCCCCTTTGCTGCATGGTTTTGACTTTGCGCGGCCAAATGCGAAGCCCTCGATCGGTCCCTATATGGAAAACATCGAGCTTGACATTTATCGACATCCAGATCTTCAAGGAGGAACGCGAGATGGTCACAAGAAGGAACACGATCTGTACTCTCTGGGAGTTGTGCTGCTGGAAATTGGGCTCTGGAGGTCCTCTCGTGATTTGGTTGAGCACAACGTAAGAATACGACAAAAGACGCCCTCAAAGAAAGACGAAGACATCAAGGTGACAAAGGAAGATGTACAGATCTGGATGACAGACGTCATGAAAAATAGTCTGGCCACTCATGTCGGGTCAGACTACCGACATGCAGTACGGACTTGTCTCAGACCGGAATTTGGGATAACAAAAGACGACGAGAGGGAAAGCAAACTTCTTGATGCTATGGACAAGCTGGTATTGCAGAAACTGAAACGGGCACCGAACATGTAACACATGACCTGAGAAGGCATGTAAACTTATACCAACTCTCAACCGAATTCCATCAATTATCTTCTCGTTGCCGAGCAAACTTATGTTACATTATCAAGCGCAATGTTTGAGCCTGTATGAAACAAACGATAATAGAGAGCCTACAGAAGCCCAAAGAATTACTACTATCCACCCTGATAGCCAGAGATGCGATGTGGGTCATCGATACTCCGTCGCACACAGAGGTCGTTTAGCATTGCGTTAATGTTGAGTAGCTTACGGCTGTTTTGCCCTGTGAAAGCTCTGCGTTTGTTTAGCGTACGGGTGTATCGCGACATTTATTGAACATTACGTCGTCTTATTTCCGCTTAAACTCTAAGGCCGGCTCTGCTGTTAGGTCTATAGGTCGTGTTAGGATTGCAGGATGTAGGCTATCTAACTAAGAGCGCGCTAAGACATAGCATGCTAAGGCATCTATACGTAGTTAATATATACGCTAAAGTAGCGCCTTAGTAAATTAATTATAAATTATTTTTAAAATAATCTTACTTAAATAATAATAATATAACTTTACTAAACTTTTCTACTAAACTACGCTACTTATAATAGTCTACTAAATTTAAAGTATTCTTTAAAAAAATATATAAACTATTTCTAAATTAATTTATAAATAATTCTAATAAATTTAGCTTACTTATAAGTAATTTCTTTAGCTTAACTAATACTTATTTAAGTACTTACTTTTTACTACTAATATATAAAATAAGCTAATTATCTATATAAGTTAGCTATACTACTATATTAGAATTTAAGGTAGAATTTTTTATAAAGTATAAACTATTTCTAGATTATTTTTTAATTATTTTTAATATTTCTTTTAGTAGAAGTATACTAGTTACGCTATACTTAGAAACTACTTACGCTAAGCTTACTAGCTAAGAATAGCGTTTACTAAATAAGTTAGAAATTCTACTAATACTTTAATTTAAGCTAAGATAGATAAGTTTATTTAAATTACTTCTTAATTAATTCTTAATTAATTTAACCTAGGTTTTTATATTTAGACTATAGCTACTTATAATACTATTACTAACTTTTCTACTATCTCTTTTACTAACTCTTCTATTTTTTTTACTAACTTAGTCTAGGTAAAATCTAATAATAAGTCTAAGTTAGATTATTTATTAAGTAATTTAAACTATAAGTTAGATTAATTAGTAAATAATTTAAACTATAATAATTTTAAGAACCTTACTACTATACTAAATAATAAGAAAGAAAAGAAAAAGTAGAAAAACTAAAAATACTCTTTTTAGAATATTATCTAGGTTAATAATTTAAAGAGAAAATAGGTAAATTATTTCTTAAATATTTCTAAATTATTTCTAACTTTTATAGCTTAACTTTACTACTATAACTAATATAGTTAAAAACTATTATAATAATTAGGCTAAAGATAACTTCTCTTACTAAACGTATAACATTAATAGCTTAGATATAAACTTTATTTATAGTAAGTTTTATTTAGATTATTTCTAGAATAATTTAAGATTATTTCTAATAAATTTAGACTATACTTTCTTTTAGAATAAAGAAAATAAGTATAAATCTTACTAGTTCTTTTTAGACTTTCTTTCTAAGCGTATACTTACTCTCTCTAAGAGTAGTAGTTCTAGTAAGTAGTTAGGTACTATTTCTAAGTAAATTATTTCTAAAATAGTTTAGAATTAATTTAGTATAAAAAGATATATATTAGAAATAAAATAAATAAATATTATATAACTCTCTCTTTACTATATACTTTACAAATAAGTACTATTATTATATTATTAATAAGAATAATATACTATATCTTACTTAGTAGAATATACTAAGTAAAATATAGTTAATTATAAAGTATTTTTTATTTAAGTTTATAAACTTTACTTAGCTACTACTATTAAAAGATTTAAGTAATAGTTAAAAACTTATAAGTATATTATACTTTATTAAGATTTATTTATAATTATACTATTTTATTAGTAAACTAATAATTCTATAGCTTATAATTAAGTTTTAAAAGAAAAAAGTTTAGTACTAATATACTAAAGAATATAAAACTAAAGATTATAGTACTTTAAAAGTAAATAAACTAAAACTTAAAGTTTTAGTACTATTATTTCTAAAGTAGTTAAAGCTTTTAAATCTCTTAGACTAGCTAAAAAGCTATTTTAATACTAAAGTACTTTATAATAGAATTTAAAATTAATCTTTAAAAAAACTATAGAATAATAATATATATATATAAGCTTTAAACTATTATAGTAATATATTCTAAAAACTAATAGTTAGAATATATATACTAAGAATTTAGAAGAAGTATACTATTTATACTTTTAAAATTTCTATAATATTTAGAACTCTAAAGATATTTTAAAAATACTAATAGTAGTTTAGAGCTAATACTTAAAGCTATACTATCTAAATAATATTTTTATAAGGTTCTAAAATAACTATAAGTAAATTAAAAATATTTTTTATTACTTCTATATATTTTAATTATCTAAACTTTATAAGACTCTTATAATAGAATCTAAGAATAAAAAAGTTTAGCTAGATTTATATAAAAAAGAAAAAGAAAGCTAATAAAAACTAGTACTAGATAGTACTAGCTTATAGAGTAGCTCTTTTATAAGCTAGATCTTAATATTATTAGTTATTTAGTAGCTAGAAGTTTATATATTACTAAAGTTCTAAAGAAGTATATTCTTAATATACTAATAATTAAGTACTTACTATCTATATATATATTATCTTAGACTAAGAATACTATCTTAGTTATTCTTACCTTTTTAGGTTATATTAGTCTAGTAGTCTAAGACTATATTCTTATATAAACTATAGAGTTTAAGACTTCTAAGCTCTATAAACTTAGATTCTATAAAGAAAAAGAGATAAAAAAGTATATATTCTATATACTCTTAGACTATTACTATATATTATCTTAGCTATTATAAAAGTTTTATATATATTAATACTATATCTAGAATAATAGAAATAAATAGAAAATAAATTATTATATTATAATCTTTCTTAAAAAGCTTTCTTAAGTAGTAAAGTATATAAAATTTTATTTTAATCTATACTAGTAAGTTATATATAGTACTTTCTAAGAGTACTTTAAGAATATATTCTATATTATAAGCTCTAGTAAGATCTACTAAGCTTTATTAAACTTTAGATCTTATACTTTCTTAAAAAAGAATACTACTTTAATTACTTATTAATATCTACTTTACTATTATATTCTACTAGTTTTAGATTTAATACTTTATAATTTTATTTAGTATAAATATAATAAGTATTTACTTATATAAATCTTTTTCTATTCTATATTATATATCTAAATTAGAATTAAAACTATAAGTAGAACTACTTTACTTATTATTAAAGATTTAATTTTATTACTATAAGCTAGATATTAGTATATAAGTAGCTAGGTTTATATTTTTATTTAGTAATTCTAACTATTAGTTTATATATAGTACTAAAGTAGACTTTAGTAAAGATTTTACTATTTTATATAGCTTAAAGTCTAGTTATAAGTAATTATAATATAACTATATTATAACTATATATCTAACTTAGACTAATACTTAATAGTATATTAGTTAAAATAACTCTAGATATTATTATATACTAATTTAATAAAATATAATAAGTATATTTAGTAGAACCTTAATAGATAGAATAGCTAGTAAGATATTAGTATATATTAATTTTAAAATATTTATAGATTAGTTAGCTCTAGAGTTTACTAGAGTGCTAAAAGACTAGAGTACTAGAGCGCTAGAGCGCTAGAGCGCTAAGGCGTCTATGCGTAGCTTATATATACGCTAAGTTAGTACCTTAGTAGATTAGTTAGAAATTATTTTTAGAATAATTCTTTTAAAATAATAATAATACTACTCTACTATACTACCTATACTACTAACTAAGCTACTAAATCTTACGCTATCTACTACGCTAAATTATAGTCTACTAAATTATAAGTATACTTTATAGTAATATATAAAACGTTCTAGAATTATTTATTAATTAATTTTAATAAATTTTAGCCTACGTTTAAGTAATTTCTATAGCTTAACTAGCTACTATTTAGTTAACTAGTCTTTACTATAAATATATAAAGTTAGTTTATTATCTATATAAGTTAGCTATACTATATAATTAATATTAGTAGTAGTCTTTATAGTATATAAATTATTTCTTAATTATTTTCTAAATAATTCTAACTATTCTTTTAAAGAAAGTTTACTAGCTACACTTCTCTTAAAAACTACTTACTTACTATCTATAAATTAATTATAGCTATAGCTAGGTAGATTAGTATACTTCTTAACTAGCTAATTTAGCTTAAATTAAGTAAGTTTAAATTATTTTTTAATTATTTCTAAATTAATTCTACTTAGTTTTCTATATAAATATTATAGCTAACTATAATATAATTACTAATCTTTCTTTCTTTATTACTAAAAAAGATTTAAATTAATTATTAAATAATTTAGATAAAGAAAAAGAAGAAGAAAAAGATAAAAAAAAAAAAAAAAAGTAGAAATAAGAAGATAAGAGCGCTATTTCTAGCTAAGAGAAAGAAGAAAAGAAGAATAATAGCTCTTCTTAAAATACTATTTAGCTTAATAAAGATTAAACTTAAGTAAATTATTTCTTAAACGTTTCTAGATTATTTCTAACTAATATAGCTTAATTATAACTTTATAATAGATTATATCTAAAAGTATTTCTTTAACCTAAATAATAAATTTAACCTCTCTTACTAAGAGTATAATGTAGAAGGCTTTAACGCTAAAAACCTAAAGAGTAAGCTTTATTTAAATTATTTCTTAAATATTTCTTAATTAATTCTAATAAAATTTAAACTATACTTTCTTCTATAATAAGTTTACTATATATACTTCTTAGTAGTTCTTCTATAACTTTTTTAGAGAAACCTCTAAGTCTAAGAGCCTAGCTACTCTTTT